AAAAATATAAATATTCATATTTAATGTTGAAAAATATTAAGTCTATTATTCTTTGTCTATTGCCTATTTATCAATAAAATAAATCCTCCATTTTTTCATTACATATTATTTATTTTTTAACCTTGTTAAAATTTGAAACAACAAGTTATAAATATATTACAACAAGTTATAAAATTAGGAGTTGAACTTACAAATTTTTAAAACCATTAGACTTATTACCAGTGAAGGATCAAGGAATTTTGTTTATGTTCTGAAATTGATTAGAACTTAGCTGTTATTCTCCCAATGATATAAGATATGCCATATCATTCATTGTGTTATGATTCTTGCAATTACATCCTCATCCTCCTACATCATATCACCTTTGTTTTAAATTATAAGATACTTTTAAATGAGATTCAACATTTCAAAATATAAGAAAATAAAAAAAATTTCATTAATGATATTTTTTTAATATTACTCTCCCATATTTTCTTTTTCTTTAACATTCTTTTATGAACAAATGATTAATGGAGGATTTTTTTTTAAGTTTATATGTTTGTCTTGAAAAGGTAAAATTGTAAAGTGTATTTAATAAATTTATTAATATGTGTAATAATTTTATCTAAAATTTTATAATTTGGGACTGAGGGAGTATTACTCACAACATCCTCACAAATTTACCTAATACTAGAATAAACAAAATAATTTCTTTGTAAAACTACTTGTCATATCTTGTATGAACCTATAGCAAACAAATTAATCTAGCAAAATGTTTTCATACATAAATCCAATTTATATTTTTACAGCTAAACATTTAATATAATTAGACAGCGTTTATGTTCTCACAACAATAATCCAATGTTTTTTATAAGACATTTTTATGATAATGAACAAATCATAAATCTCTCAATTCACATGCGAACATTCAATATATATGAATAAGTAAACCATCACGATTTCATAACAAATAATTCACTCCAAAACTTTCATTATCAACTTAAAATTTAGCAACAAGTCATATTATATAAGCAACCAAATTTTATATTAGCAATCAAATCACAACTATAATTTAACTTAAGAAAAAATATAATTTTAAATTCTTGCATTTGTTCGAGTTTTATTATAGATTATTGCATTTTTTTCAATATTTTAGGTTCATATACTTTTATTTTTAAGTATTTTAAGTCCCTATAACACCCACTTATGGAGGGACCTAATATATCAAAAAATAAAAGTGTACCAACTTAAAACACTGAAAAAATATGGGGACCTATAACAAAATTCGAGCAAAATATAAAGACCCAAGATTATATTTGTCCTTAACTTAAAATTTAAGATTGTTTTATGATTTTCTTTACATATTTTCTGTTTTAATCGTTCTAAAACGACACGCAATGGACATACATACATACATACATACATACATACATACATACATATATAGGGAAAACGCCGAAAATTATAATTTAAACGCTTCTGGACAAAATTAATTTACTTAATCCAACTCACATAGCCGACCTGATGAAAGTAACACTCTTTTACCTATTCAGATCAACAAAAGTGGAAACGGTCTGATAAGTTAATTGGTAAATAATTCCAGCTAAGGATCATAATTATCACTATGCTACTAAAAACTTTGAAATTTATTCTATTCTTTGCATTAGATGGAATAAATTATTTTCAGTACTTATTATATCTGCTAAAGTAACATATCTTTTGCTTCTCATAAAAGCCTACTAAATTTTTTGTTATTTTTAATATTAACGAAAATATCATTTTCCCATGCGGTGCATGAATAAAAACATTTCATCATTTAAAATTTTTTCAAAGCCGATAGAGTATTTAGAAAATAAAAATAAAATTGTATGGAGTTTCGATATATTATCAATTTTTAAAATAATAACATTTAGAATATTTTATTCCATCTAATAAAAAAGAATAGAATAAGTTTTAAAGTCTTTAGTGGCATGTTGATTACAGATATGATCCTTAAATTAGCTGGAATTTTGTTTGCCAATTATATCTTCTCTTTTTCTTTTGGCCAACTCAATTATATCCTCTAGTTAGACCGTTTCCACTTTTATTGATCTGAATAGGTAAAAAAGTGTTAATTTCATAAGGTCGGCTATGTGAATTAGACTAAGTAAATTAATTTTGTCCGGAAGCGTTTCAATTACAATTTTCAGCGTTTTCCTTTCGGCGAAGAAGTATTTTCCTCTTTTGCCCTTCGTAAAATATATATACCCTTTGCGTGCCGTTTTAGAACAAGTAAAACTAATGTTTTAAGATTGGATAGGATATTGAACCAAAATAATTAACAGTTCATGATTAATATGATTCAATTAGGTGGATCAATGATCAACTCGATAATATAATAATTAAATTAAAAAAATTATATATATAAAGTAATTTAAATATAAAAAATAAATATGAAATCGCTACTTAACTTAAAAATAAAACTAAATATTTTAAGTTTATCATGATTTAACAAGTCACATGATGCAACATAATATCAAATGACTAAACAATTGATTATTTTCTAAAAAAAATTTGTAAAAATATAAAAAGGAATTTGTTTGAACAGTCTTGTTTTTTAAAATTGAATCTGGTTCTCAACTTGATCCCGGTTTCTTGTTTGACTGCCAGTCCAAAATGATCCAATCAAACTCAACTCTCAAAACAATTTTTACATTCTGACCGAGTCAAAATCCAAACCGATCCAACTGTCTGAATTTCGTACTATTGACTAAACAGAAAATAAGTAAGAAAATCACTTATACAGTCTTAAATATCACTCTCCCTGTCACGCGCGCGCACAAAAGAAAAAAAGCAGTCCTTAAATTTTAATTTAATTTGTATTTATTTTGTGAGATAAAACATTAATTTAATTTACAGTTTAAAAAATTATTTTAAAATTAAAATAATATAATAGTATTTTGCACACAATCGCAAGGGTAAAAACGTGGTAAATGTGAAAATAGTGAAAAAGAGACAAGATATTTAGGTGTCGAAATGCTTCTTCCATGGATTTTACTCCATGGTACCTAGGCCACATTTTTTCCATCAAAATATGGATAGATAGGTAATTTCAACCATGAAAGGCTTTTTACCATATTAATTCACATTCTCATATCTCTTTGTCTTTTTTTTTTTTTTTTAACGAATTAAAGTGACTTGGGCTGGAAACTCAATAGATTATGATGGCAAGATCACGTTATCACTTACAATATACAATCATATATTAAAGTCATCCCCACCGCCTCATCCACATAAGAATTTCACCAATGATATCTGCCTTTATGATTTTTTTTTTTTTTTCCTCCTTCGCCATTCTCATGTTTCTATCAACCCATGATCTTATTTTAATCAATTTTTTCTCTATCAACCAATTTCATCTTATAACATTTCCAACAAGCAGGCCATACTTAAAAAATTTTGAATGCATTCAATGCTCATTGCTTATCTGAGCCTTCTATTTTACTCTAAAATAATTTATGCCATTCATTTGAATTAATTTTTAAGTATTGTGTTTATTAATATAAAAATTATAAAAAATTTAATATTAAGTCTGGTCAGTACAAATTTAATCATGATTCTCAAATTTAAAAATAATTTTTTTATAATTTTACAATTTGACTATCCATATGTATATTGGATAGTTCAGATATAATTTAAAATAACCCAATTTAATATTAAAAAATTTGAATTTTATAAATTAATCATTTAAATATGTTCTGAATAATCCAGATTTAATATTAAAATTTTTTAAAACTTTATAATTTAACTATTCAGATATATACTAAACAACTCAAATATAAGTTTTAAAATATTTAGTAGCGTATTGATAAGTAGGATCCCTACAATTTTTTAGCAATTAATTATATATCCTCTAGTAGGCCGTTTCCACTTTTGTTGATCTGAATAGGCAAGAGTGTTAATTTCATAAGGTCGGGCATGTGAGTTGGATTAAGTAAATTAATTTTTCCTGGAAGCATTTCAATTATAATTTTCAGCGTTTTCCTTTCGGTGAAGTATTTTCATCTTTGGTCCTTGGTAAATAAATAATAACTATAATATATAGGCGCGTCTTTTATTAGAACAATTAAAACAGAAAATACGTAAAGAAAATCACATATACAGTCTTAAGGATGTCATTCACACACACACACACACACACAAGCACTTCCTAAATTTTAATTTAATTTGTATTTATTTTGTGAGATAAAACATTAATTTAATTTACAATTTAAAACTTATTTCAAAATTAAAATAATATAATAGTATTTTGCTCAGAATCGCAAGGATAAAAACGTGGTAAATGTGAAAATAAAGAAAAGAAATGAAGAGGGAAGAGAGTCAAGATATTAGGTGTCAAAATGCTTCTTCCATGGATTTTACAGCATGCTACCTTGGTCACATTTCTTCCGTCAGAATATAACCTAGGTTTCACAGAAAAAATATTTTATTAAAAAATTTCAAGCCACAAAATATTTTTAAATTTAATTCTGTGCGTCTATAATTCAACAATAGGAATTTACAACTTGCCAAAAAAAAAACAGACAAATAAAGACAATTTGTAAACATGATTTAAAATTTTAAAATATTATAAGTTTTATAAGACCTGTTGATAATAAATTTTTTTAAGATCTAAAGTAATTTTTCTAATTTAAATATAAGACCTTTTTATTTATAAAAAACATGTTACTGTGTATTTTATTTTTTGAAAGGTTAAAGTCTAATTTTACCGTTATATTTATTTTTTAAAAGTGTTAGACACCATACACTCTTAATGAGATCAATTTTGCTCTTGAAGTAATTTTTTTCAAGTTTCAAGAACACCCTTCTACTAAGAAACCATTAACTTTATCATTTTTTGAGAGGCTTTTTATTCCTCAAAAAAATAATTCAAGAATAAAATTATCGATTATAAAGCACTTGGCATTTCTAAAAAATAAATAGAGAAAATCAAACCTTAACTTTTTTTTTTTTTAAATAATGAGCCTGCTGCCAAATCAATCATCGATCATCAACCAACTTTTATATATAAAAATCAAGCTAAAAAACAGATGCTAGCACCTAGCAGCGACCAGGAGGGAATCTCAGAGAAACTCTTCGTTCATAATTTACAAACAATGGGACTCTCCTATTAAGTACAACGAATGTGCAAAAAAAATTCTCTTCAAGACAGTGACAAAGCCGGTGTGATTATTTTACATATGAACAGAATATTCTCCAACCCTGTTCTCAGGTCAAAAATCATTCAAAGTAAACACAAAGGCAAGATCTGAACACAAATCTATTACAATGAATTAAAACAACAGCAGCAAGGTCATATCATCCTGCCTATTGTTGCCCAGCTTCCTTTGAACTTGACACAAGCACTTGCCTCGAAACTGAATCGTACTTGTCATACCAGGTGCTTGAACAGATTTTTTACTTGCATGACGTAGATTCTGTTAGTGACTGAAATTACAGTTATGAAAGCTCCATTTATCACTATTGTTACACGGAGAAGATTATATGATTCGGAAATAACAGCTTTCAGAACTCTTGAGACTCGAAATCTGGTTTCGATGGATACTCTAGACCGTGCAGTGCCGGCATCCTCCTTAGATCTTCTTCTGAATAAGCAGGGATTAACCAGTATCTCTTGTCCGACCCAAACACCTGATAAACAAGTGACACAAACCATCAACAACAATAACAATAAGTCTTGCTCCACTAAATGGAGTCAACTACCTGAACTGCAGTATTATTGTGCTCTATCATTAATCAAATTTTTAAGAATATTATTAAATAAGGGGTCTTGTTCGAAAACTTCCAAGAGTGACATAAACCACAATGAAACAAAATCCTAAGCTATTCAATGGACATCAAAGGAGAGGATATCAGCAACATAATACATGAGACGCCAGAGGATCACTGAATATACCAAAAAAAGAAAAAAAAAAATCCCATGAGATGCTGATACAATAATACCTCAATCTTCTAGATTTAATAGACAAGATTCATCTTAATTTTAGACATGGTTGTGACAATGATGGTTACCTAAGTGAGATGGAGAAATCTATTCCAAAAGTTAGCTATTGAGGAGGGTGAACAAACCCACTTAAATACCTCACTAAGCATCTCATACTACTCAATATAAGACTTGGAATCCCATACAATCAAGTCTCCATCAAACAATAATACAAGTTGAAATTTGAATTCTTTATAGTTTCAAATTTTACAATGCCGAATATGATTGATGTTGGAGCAACGGCATGAATCAAGGGAGAGAGTGAGAGTAGAAGAAAGAGGGAAATATAGAAGTGGTAAATGGGAGAAAAGTAGAGATATAGAGGGGTAGGAGAAGGGAGGGCAACGTAAAGCTAACAAGTCTAAAGAAATTTATTGATAATCAATCGAAAGACTGACACACGCTAATTACTAAGGCGTTATAAAAGCCCAAGAGAAATCTCCTATTAAGATAAATTAATTCAAAATAAAAAAGATAACTAACAACAGAATAATAAAAACCTAACAAAGGGATAATTGATAGCCACAAGTCAGGAACTCTCCAGTCAATGAGGCAAAGTACCTGGGTAATTATAAATCAGTACACAAGTCTAGGAGAGAGAGTAACGAGGGACACTAAAGACTAATGAAATAACTAACATACAAAAATCTCTACACTCAAGAAAAATAAAAATAACATCCACCAAGCCAAGCTTAATGATTTATTTCTCAAAAAACAATACTACGTAATTCTTTGATAAGCATATCTCCAACTTAGCCAGCTAAAAAAGGCATGATGATGAATTTCACTAACGGCCAAAAAGAAGGTTGTATGTTGATAGAGACGGTAATTCCTGAAAGATTTGGATGTCATTTCCTAAAGACCTGTGGTAGATAATCTTGGAAGGGAAATGATTTAGAGAAGACTAACACTAGTGGTCAAGAGATTTATCCCAAGGTTTATAACTGTAGGATTAAAATGGTAAAGGACAAGTCAGGTTAAGTGTAGCCAAGGTATAGTAGAGTTGGTAAGGGTAATGACTAATTTTTGGCTTTTTAAATCTGTCCTTTTGTGCAGAGGGAGGGGTGTGGAGTCTTCTGAAAATTGAGAGTGGTGAGGAAAGTTCTGGCCTCTTGAAGATCATCTTTCCTTATCATTTTTCTTTCTGTTTTAGCATGTTAGTGAGTGGCTTATGCTGTTAAATGATAGAAAATACTTATAGAAGTTGTTGACTGAGAGCTCTCAGTTAACAATATTCCTAAAAGATTAATAAATGATAGAGCACAATGATGTGCACAATCTATATAGCCGGCCTCGCCTAATAGGATAAGACTTTTTGTTGTTGTTGTAGTGAGTGGCTTATGTTCTAGGTGGTTGTTCTGTGGTGTGCATTTTGTACTGATCCTTTTCTCCGTAATTGTAGCATTCGATTTAGCTTAGTGTATTAGTGTATGATGGAGATGGGGTTAGCTTGAATCATTATTTCCCTTGTAACCCAATTTTATTATTCAACAATAGTATTCTCAGTCCACATGTATAGTATTTTCTGGTTTTTGCTTGTTTGAAGCTCATTAGAGTAGAGGGCTCTATCATGTGCCAACAGCAAAGAAAGCTACGACAGATGGATAAAAGCCTGTTGACAATAATGGTAAAAATTAGAAAGGAAAAATGGCAATGAGACCATGAATGGCAAGGGAAAATTGAAACAAAAAAAATGAATAAATAAGTTGCATCCAAGAATCAACAAAGGCTAGAGAGCCAAAAAAATAAAAAAAAGGTCCAGTAACAATGCAGGTCATGGCTAAAAGGGAAAATAATAATAAAGGCCATATATGGCAAAAGGGTCAATAGCAACAAAAGGTACAAATAGAAAGAATATATACAATAACAATGAAGCTCAAGGCTAGGGAGGGAAAAAGGCCATAGTGTAATAATGAATGACAACTTCAACAGCCATATCCAGAAAAGCCAACAATGTCTGATTCTCTCATGGTTGAATCCAGATCATGTTGCAACAACAGCATCAATCATAATATAATTTGATAGAAGCAACTTTGGGAGGTGGCAAAATGTGAAGAACAGAAGATGACACTATGCAGAAGTGATTAGTACTCGTACTCTTGAACCATAACTATTGATGATATATAACAACAATAAGCCTTATCACACTAGGAAGGTTGGCTAGATAGATTGTACGATGCCATTATACTCTATCATCAACCAAACTTTTAATTATTGATGATATATGGTTTAAAAAAATTGGGTTAAGAGAATTTATGAAAGAATTACATAACAGGCAAGCAAGAAAATCAAACACAAAAATGCTAAGAAAATATATCAATGTAAACCAAGTACAAAATACACAAACCTGTTCAAAATTCTTCCTACGACCAAGGTCATAACGCCATTTTGGAGTAGTTTTCTTCTCATATGCCTGCTCATAACATGAAACAACATTACATCAGTATGCACTTCAAATCATCTTTTGTACATTACAGCTAAGTATCATACAATTTTAATGTACAGACTCTTTAAGAGCATACATCAAAATGGATACTGAATACAAAAACATAAAATATTTTAACAATTCTTATATTCAAATATTACTTTTCTCAGTTACCATTCATAAAGCTCCTTCCAAAGAAAAACACAGCCCAAATCACCTATATTTTAAGTTATTGAAACATCATTTAAATCAAAACAAGATCAGAGTCATGTCCTCAAGTTTAATGAACAAGACAAGAAAAGATTATTTCGACACATCCAGACAGAGGTAATCAATGTGTCATGGCAATGTCAAAATCTGGAATGCTTGAAAATCCGCATGTCTACACTTTATAGACATATAGACAAGCATGCATACGATCATTCATTTATTTATTAGGGGGTTTAGTTCAGCCTACGCTATAATCATCATTTTTAGTCAAAAATATATGTTTAATTGTAATTTTTATTGCACCTAAATACTTGTCATTCAATATAAGCACATAAATAAGCCCACCTCACGTTTGGCTTCATGTAATAACCTTCACTGCCAGTTAACAAGGTTTCAATGTTCCAAGGTCAACAAGTATATAGCGCAGGACAGTCTCTCTTTGATAGAAGACAGGAAAGCTTTAGGGGACATTTAGTCAGTGGATAATCTATTTCCTCAAATACAGGTCAACTCACTTATAAAGTTTATGGAATGGAATATATGATTATTTACAATTGATTATGACATATTTGTTAGATATCATATATTTTATTCAGGCTATTTAATTATTATTTTTTAAATTAACGTTTAGTTATTTTAGTTATTTTTGGGATAATGTTTTGGATTAGCAAGTGTTCTATTTTAAAGGATAAATATATTGTATTTTGTTTTGGATAAAGTTATCGTAAGTTTCGGTGTTGCATTAAGTTGAGTTTGTTCTCTCCGTTTTTGTTATCCAAAAAAGTAACACTGCTTCCATCTAATAAAATAACTTCAGGGAAAGATTAAACCCTGAATTGCTAAATGGTACCAAAGACTCAAATTCAAATTTGGCAAAAAATATGACCACCCACTTTGAGAAGGTAGAAGCCTCTCATTACATTTGTAATGAGTTGGGAATAAATAATAGGCATATCATTATGTAAATAAAGAATTTTAAAATAAATTAATTAGATTTCTTATTTTCTTATAATATTTAGGTTTAAAGGGCATTTTTTCCCTTCAACTATTTATGCAAGAGTGTCTTGTAAGCAAGGTTTCCCTTCAACAATTAAAAATGGTGGAATTTTGCCCACACCATTAACAAATATTAACTTTGATCGTTAATTAACTAGAAAATTATAGAAAAGAGGCTTAATAAAGATAACTACATCTTTTCCTATTCTTTTTCAAGCATTTAAAGAGTTAAAAATTGGTGATTTGATTAAATTACCAAATGGTGTATTGATGCTTGGATGTTCCTTGTGAAAGGACTCATATGCCATGGAGCTTATTCTATGATTATTTTACTAACTGCATACCAAGTGTTTGTTAAATTCCTTCAAAGGGAGGTTATTATTGAAATTGGTAGCTAGTCATTATAATTGTAACTTCAACTTGACTACATACCTCATGCCATTTCAATATTCATATCATTATGCAAGAGTTAGAGATATGCTCTTCAAGCTACAAATACCCAGCTTGAGGGGAAGTGTCAGACATTATTGTTGAACACTTCATGTTAATTAAGTTATTGCATTTGTTTTATTGCAATTAATGTATATTTGCTTTTTAATAATTTTTTGCAATATGTTTCTACATGTTGAAGAATAGCTGAGTGCTACATCTCAATTAGGACATATTTATCCAATCTAGTCTTGGATAAGGTTATCTGGGTTACCTAGTATACCTAGTACTTTACAGTTGTGCTTAACTTGGACTAGGATTATGTTCTCACTTTTTTGATATGCTATGAATAAAACTTCATTTCCAAGTAATCAAAAAAGTACAAAAGAAAATTGAACCTTCAGTTTTTACGGCGTTGAATGAGAGCCTTGGATTCTTTTATATATCTCTCACAGATAACTACTAAAAGTAAACTTGTAATAAAGCGAGATCACATAACCTAGCAAATACCATAAAAAGGAGGCCTGTTCCCAATCAAAGGAACCAAAGCATGTGGATTGAAAATAGTGTTCAAAAGATTTTTTACAAAGTACAAAGACATGAAAGAAGATATATAAAAGTATGAAAAGATATACCTCAATAGTAGTTGTATTACCGGACACCAAGTTTATGTGCATGATCAGAAATCCCAATACACTCAAAGCAAAGGCTAGATTCAAAACTGTAAATGATACAACATGGTTACAAAATTCACATTTAAAACAAATAACAAGACCAAAAATGGTGAAGGCCATACCAAAAGCAAGAAAAGTTGTTGCAAGGGAGCCAGGTGATCCCATTATTTCTCCATCACTAAAGAATGATATGAACTCAGGCAGTAACGACAAAGTAACGAGAGTTGTCTCCCAAAAAGTGTAGAACTGCACTTAGATTTACCAAAATAAAATAAAACCACTGTGAGCTTCAGATATTGGCAGACACAAACAGGGGAACAATCACAACCTGCCATGTCACAGTGATAGGACACATGGAATTTTGTCCAACATATTTTGGAAGCTACTGATAAGACTTCTGTTGAATCTTTGATGATGGAAGCCCTAAAATCTTTTGACCATAACCCAATCATAATGATAATCACACAATGCTAGGACGCCTCTTTCCTATCATGTCTTAGCCAGAAAGAATCATTTTCACCACCTTAAATGCATGAATGGTACATCATTCCTAATGTACCAAAGGTGCCAACTCAAAATAAACAGAACTAGGGTCACAATTAGCATTAGATTAGTTTCCTAAAGGAAGTAGCTGAGTTGATGCAAGAATAGAAGGGGAAGCACAAAAACATGACTTTTGTTTCCCAAAAGGTTTAGCACATAAGCTATAGTCACAAAACAATCCATTTCAGGATTATCCCTCTGCATTGCCATGGATTTGCTTGAAATCAAGACAAGGGATAGGGAAGTAAGAACACAAAATGCAGATCCAGTAATATGAATTACTAAGAAGCACCGATATGGGTACATGTATCAGATAATATACAGCAGGGCGTAGAGGAATAAATATAATACATATTTCAAAATTCTAGGATATGAGTATGAGTATTTTGAGTTCTAAACAAGTATTTCTATGTAATATAAAGATATTTACAGAAATCAACCAAAATATTAAGTTTTTTAAAGTTTTCAAGTAACAAAGAAATATTTTGTTGAAAAAAATCAAAATAGAAATGCTAGAATATGTGATATGTATAATGAAGTATAGGATGTGTATCGTATATAATACAGGTATGGTTACATTTTTGGAGTATGCTTCACAGATATGAAATGCCAAAGATGTTATCTGAATTTAAGATGTTAAAAAGAGTGCAAATTCTAAAGTGTAGATGAAAATCAGATAATGCAGCATACAAGATGGTAACAAAAACATGAAAGAGGAAGAAAGATATTCAAGCAATTCAAGATTGGTACAAGTCTCCATTAGCAAACCACCCCCACAAAGACAATTATAAGCTCAGCACTAAAAAGAGACACAATGCAGGTATACAGTCATTGCAGTTTAGGATTTGGTTGGGAACAATAGCAGCTCAATAGACCATAAATTATTATAATTTTTTTTGCCAACGAAAATTGCCCATACCAAGAAAGAAGGAAATACTTGTAATTTCGAGCCCCAACACAGTTGACTACCCAAACACAATGATGGTCCATTTTCAGCACACAACGTCCACCTAGGCCAAAACCACGAGAGATCAAGTCAATCCTAATATTTTCCCTCAAAGTGAAAATACAAAAAAAATAATAATAAAAATAAAAATTTGTGCAGCAGGACTCACAGACAGAACAATGATGACATCGAGGTGGTTTGAGCTGATTGCACTTCCGACAATACCGAATTTGTTGATTTGAAGGATCAGACTGTCCATGACTAAATTCCGGCATTAAGGGGTCAGTCTCTCCTCTCTCCTCATCAATTGCAGGCCTCCAATTAGGTGGCACACTCCCAGGATCCGTGAAAACAACGGCAAAGTAACTCCAGAGTAGCATAGCTAGCTGCAAAATCATAATAGAAATCCAACCTACCAGTCAACACATCATCTTTCTGCTATAAAATATCACGATTAATGCCTCATCAGTCTTGAATCCTGATAAATTAAACTCTAACACAACTTAAAATTCCTCTCTGATAATCATATATCCAAAATTGTCCAGATGTATGAAGAAAATGGAACCGTAGTTTATGAGAAATTAAAACAAATAAAATTGGCCTACTCCTAGAATATTTAAACTATTTAGGATAAACAGAAATCAATCAAACAGAGGACCATGAACCATGAGTGAACCTTGTGTATTACTTTTAACAAGCAAAACTTTGGATGACATTTATCAGAGCCTGAATGCACTTCATGAATTTGTTTACTACAAATCAAATTCAACCTGACGATACCCCACAAGCCCCAGCAATAAGAAATCATATTAAAAGGAAAATATGAAATCGGCTTCCGAAGCTCACCAAATAATGAAACAAGATCAGCACCCCAGTGGCAATGACACGATCAAGAAGCCCACCGTTCAAACCAGGACCATAGACAGTTAACACAACAGCATAATAAGTAACACCCACGACACCAAGAACCAGGAGTATCATGATCGAACCAAGCCCCCGCAGGGCCGTGCAGAACTTGAAGACGTTCCAAGCCATCGTAGCTCCAGATCTGTGCATACTCGGGAAAAAGAGAAACCCTATACAATTCAACCCAGAACAATTGTTTCTTCTGCCCTCTATGGCATTCGCGGAAGAATAATGAAGTCCAATTCCGCAAGAATCAATGATATACTCGAAGAATCATATTACAGTGGTTGACTTTCAGATAACAACAACTCCAGAGTGAACAATTACAGACAAAAACGGTTTCTTGCGTTATGGGTCTCTCTAATGACGGACATTCTTAGACCTAGGGTTTACATAAAACTAGGAAGAAGTAGATAATTATCTAATTTAGACAGGGTTGGAGCACATGTACAAGGAGGTGAAACGTGGTCTAGTTATTATAGATAGGAACGCAACTTTTCTAGAGTTTCCGGTTTTTTTCCTACCTCACCTGGGGGAATGAAGCTGCCGTTCAACAATGGGACGCTAATTCCAATTGCAACGAATTCAACACCATGCCCCGTGTGTGTGTGTGTGTGTGTGTTTTTTTTTTTTTGGGAAGAAAAAAAACAGCATTACTGAGTTCAACCAATATTAGCTGTCCAGGTCAAAAAAAAAAAAAAAATGCGCTGAATTCACCAGTTCAACCTATGTACGCTGAATTTCAACCAAATATTTTAATAACTACATCAGGGATGAATTAGTCAAGTTATATGAGGGGTCAAATATTTTAAGCATCTACTTTTCTAAAGTAAGAAAACGTTAAAGAAAAAATTAACTTTAATCATTAATTAATTTAAAAATTATAAAAAATGACTCAAAATTACACCTAAGTACTCTATAAAAAAATTCATATTAATTAAATCTGTTAAAATTACATATAAATGGGGTATTTATTTATAATTTTACAAATCATTTTCTATAATTTTTTCAGTTATTTTTAATTTTTTTATCGACTAATAATTAACGTTAACTTTTTAACTACAAAATATCTAGTGCAATATTTTTAAATGTTAAACGTGAAAACTGTACCACATATAAATTTAAAATATTAAATGTTCCTCAAACATAACTAGGTTATATGTAAAGTGGGCCTCCCCCTTGAAGGTGTATGCATGTCTCTCAATCACCACTCTTGTAAGAGTGCCTAATTATTCCATTGAGTTAATCAAATTAAACACACATTATTATGATAATTAAGAATTGAATCATACAAAATCCTTTCATGGTAAACCAGAAATTCATTATTTGAAATGAGATCCAAGTTCTACCCTGTAAAAATATAAAATATTTAAGTAACAGAAGTCTAAATCAGAGTCATAAAATATACAAAAGCATATAATACCTTTTATAATTAAAAACTATTGACAATACCATTTAAAAGTCATTTTTCCAATAATCATAATCGTTTACCATGGCCAATGATGAGTGCAATGTTCTTTTTAAAATTATCAGTACTTTTCACAATTACCACATATAAGAATAATTAAGAGTCATTAAACCTTGAAACTTAACTTAATTAAAGAAGGGTTAAAAATTTGTTTATAAATTTTTGAAAACCATTTGGGATTGCAAAAGCCCTTCAAAACATGTTTAAACTTAGAGTAATTAGTTTACATGCATAATGAAAGTAAAAAAAAATTAAAATAATAACCTAATAAGAAAACAAGGGCATAAAAGTTATTTTTGCCCTTAAATGGCATATATATTGTGGTTTGTGTGCCATATACCATAGTCTATGGCACAAAAGGGCAAAATTTTCTCTATGCCATTCATTGCAACATGTTGCCATGCACTGTGGCGCACATGACAATTCACAAATATTAAACTTTTGACATGCACTATTTTCACACACAATATTTGATTGAAATGATTCAAGCACTCATATAAAGTTTATTTTGCAGTCTATCTAATGACATAAATTTCACTTAAATATAATTTTTATTTGAAAATTTGACACCTAGATATAAAATGACCACTTTTATGTCATTTCCTAGCAAATGAGTATCTGATTGTCAAACTTGTGTCATTAGCCACATCTAAGACCTCAATCACATCCAATAGACCAAAATGAATCAAATTAAATAATTATAACAACAATCATATATTTCCATTCAAATTCAGCCACTCAAACGTCCTGATTTCTTACAAATAGGGACACAACATATTTTCACATAATCTATTTCTAGCCAAATTCTTTACATCATACCAATTTCAAACACACAAAACATGCAATTGTATTAGTATGTTAACCCTCTTATCATATGCATCACAAATGGACTAAGTTAACTACAACAATCAACTCATACAAGTGCAATTAAAATATGTAAACATGTTCTTAGTTGGCAACTATATACTTATAATCACAATCATATACACAAACCAAAATATGAAAGCATTGCAAGTAGACAACTACTCCTCGATGCCTGGCTTTTTCCTTTGTCCTCTATCTTTCTTTGAACTTAGAAAAGAGTAACCACAGGATAAGACAAAGTCACAGTAACCAAGATAATTCACAACTATATATTAACATGTAAAACAATAAATAAGAATGTAAAGCTAGATAATAAAACACATGCTTAGTATATACCATTATAATATTGCATGCTTGAACATAATATCCATCCAAACTTCCACATCTACCTCCAATTGAATCCATAGGCTATCACATTGAACCAACCCTGAATAGTCTGATCTGAGCTTAGTTTCCATAGCAGACCCAACTAGAAGTGTTCTATCCTATTTTGAACGACGAACTCCCTTATTACTTACATAATTGAGATGTCATTTACTCCAACACCACATCCTTCTAAGTACTAAGGAGTGCATATTATGATTATGTGGATATCCTACAATAACAATCTATAGCAAGTTTGTTATACCAAATAACCCATGGTATTAGCCCAACTACATAGATTTCATATATTGCTTCCTTCCACCCTTTAATGATCATGATGTCTATGCATAACACAATGCAATTATCGTACTCTACTATAGTAAAATTATTTCAATTAACATTTAGTTAGAAATATAATTTATAAATGCATGTTACTTAATCAAAATCATTCTTTTCCCACTTTACAAGCGCTAAATTTTACAAATACATAATAATATTTAATTTCACAAACTACTTGTAAATAGTTAAATAAGCAAATAAATAATATAAATTATCTGGTTACTTTAACCCTTTTATTACTAAAAGAGTTATCTGTGGCAACTCTTAAAGTTTCAATAGTTCCTTCAACTCTAAAGAGGTTTCAAATGATCAAAATCTACAATATTAAGCACTTTACATTAATTTTGTAATTTAACATAAATACTTACTAGCACAATTTAAACTAACTTAAACTCTCACTTGTCTCATTAGACACTTTAAGCCATAATTAAACTTCATAAGCTTCCCATGAATTTCATTAACTCCATTAACATAATATGAAGTTTCCAAAACTTTAAACCTTCCACTTAAGAAAAAAATTGAACCAAAGCCTCAAATCTCAATCAACAGCCATTAAACTATTTAAAGACCCTTAATTTAACAACACTTACTAACTTAGAAACTATTTTCCTTACTTTTTAAGCCAAGAAAAAATAGGGTAGATCGAAAGAGTAAGGAGATACCAAGCTTACCCAAAAAGTGAAATGTCAAAACTAGCTCCTAGGCACTCATAAATTTCTATCCTAGCACAACTCTTTCTCTTCTCCCTCATTCCTTGTCATTTCCTTCCCTTTTTCCTTTCTCTCTCACAAGTTATCCTCAGCTTTTAAGTTAAATTTGGTACCATGCACTATACTGCTATAGTGTATTGTGCCATGTCACGACATGTGGTACAACAAACAACTTCTTAGTTTAACCCACCCACTTCACCTATTATGATCAAAACTCCACTGTAACCTAATTTTGTAGCTACCTAATGATCAAACTATCAATTAATAATCCAAAAATATTTTTAACTTTATTTATCCACTAATTTACCCCTTATTTTGTTAACTATTAAAAATTCATGTTTAAAACTTAGATTTTACAATTCTCACTTCCTTTTAGGAATTTTGTCTTTCAAAATTCAAATAACCATACAAACATATACCTAAGGAAATAGATATGAATATTGTTGACTTGTCTTATCCTTTATCTCCTAGGTTGTGTTACTAGAAGTGATTCCTTTCCAAAAACACCTTTGCCAGCCGAATTGTCTTATTGGGTTAACGTCCATTATTCACTCTAGTTTGACTCTATATGTCATATTCTCTTGAAGTTCTACCTCTTTCAATTCAACCACATGAGACAGGTCTGATTGGTATTTTTTAATATGAAACACATGAAACACATTATCAATACCAGACAACTATGATGGCAAAATAATCCAATAAGTGATCAACTTGAGTTTGTCAAGAATCTTAACTGAATCTAGGAGTCAATTTCTTCATTCTAATCAATCTCACAATTTCTATAACAAGTGTAACCCTAGAAACACATAATCACTTACCATAAACTCTAACAGCTTTCTACATTTATCTACATAACTCTTTTGCCTACTTTGAGCCATTAACAACTTCTACCTTATCATTTTTGTAACAGTCACACCCCCCCAAGCCCACTGCTATGAGTGGTGGATTGGGCCGTGCCACCTCACGGCAACCAAGCCGGCTTTCCCTGTGGTAGTTCATGGGTTATTCCCCGCACCCACTGCGCTAAGGGAGCCTTCCCAGGTTCGATCCTCCAACCTCTCCTACATAGCGAAGTTGAGGCTGAACCTGGTACCATTGAGTCAGACTCAATGGTACCAGGTTCAGCCTCAACTTCGCTATGTAGGAGAGGTTGGAGGATCGAACCTGGGAAGGCTCCCTTAGCGCAGTGGGTGCGGGGAATAACCCATGAACTACCATGGGGAAAGCCGGCTTGGTTGCCGTGAGGTGGCACGGCCCAGTCCACCACTCGCAGCAGTGGGCTCGGGGGGGTGTGACTGTTACAATTTTCATCTTTTGTGTAGTTTGTTATATACTACCCAAACCCAAAATGCTTCTCTCACTTAGCTTAATCTAACATAGGGGTGATTTGTAATGTCCTCACTAACGTTAACATTCAACCTTCTACTCAATCAACTAAAGCAAAACTAATTTCTTTGAAAGGTTGGAATCCCAATATAAAAATTTTAAAAATTACTTATTAAAATGATTTAATTCATACTAAACAGCACACAATAGAAGCATTTAATTAGGTATATGTAAATCTCAAAAGAAACTACTTTAGAATAATAAAATTTACATAAAATATGAGCCATGTGCTGCGGCTTGTGCCACATACGCATGGAATATGGCACAGAGTCACTGGCATCACATTTTGTGTCGTGCTATAGTATGTTGACATATGCTTTGTTTTAACCCTAAAATATTAATAAAATTAAAATTATATAATATTATGATTTAAATTTATTTTTATTAATTTTGGAACAAATTCAATAAGAGGAAGAATTGGTCAAATGGAGATTGTGCAA